GTTTGAGCAGTTCCACTGTCCAATTTCCCTCGGAAACAAACGGCTGCTGTCCAAAGATCCGTTCCAAACTGCACTCATATTTTACATGTTGGAGCTAAACTGTAGTCTGGAAACTGCTTACATATGCACATTGTCTGCAGCTCCCTTTCCTTTTCATAATAGAATTGCACAAAGTAACCACTGCCTTACTCTCTTGCTGTCAACATTGAGGATGCAGCCATCCTGTTTTAATGAAGTTTATTGGAATTGTCACCACACATAACCAACTGGGGCTTCTGTGTTTACCTTCAGTGTGACCATGGGCGGTCAATTGCTCCCCACAGTGTGAGCATAAAAGTGGCAGGTTCTGGCCGCGCAGAAAGACAGACAGATTAAAACAAATGCGATAAATAAAACCCCACAGTGTTTGTCTGCCAGGCTTTAGATGCTGAAAGAGTTTGTTTTCCCCTGGCTGGCTGTTGTCAGGAGTTCATAAATCTCCCTTGAGAGCAGAAGGAGTGGCATTACCCTCCCAGCTTGGACATTTTCCTTTGCCATGCCACAAGTTGCTCTCCCTAACGGGGCATTTAAATGCTCGGAAAAAGATGCTTGGTGTGATAGTTTTGTTGGCTCAGGTAGATCAAAGAATGCTAGCATGTCTTTTCAAGTGCTATCGCTTCACTTCAAAGAGCACTGTTCTCCCGGCTGTGAGTAGGTCTCTATCTCGGCGGTGCACTAGTAGAAACCACTCTGTTGTCGTTCATGTGACCCTTTTTTTTTTTTTTTTTTAAAGCCACCAGCCACAAATACCTTGCAGCACAGTTTGATTGCTCTTTAGCGTTCCCTGCATCCAGCATTGTGTTGAACGCAAGCATCCAGGCACTGTATTTATTGTGAGATGGCAGGAGTTCAATTTGGGGTTTTGGGTAAGAAACTCCTTGCTTTGCAGGAAAACTACATACATCATCACAACAGTGAGCATGGGACATTTTTCATATGAAGTTCTCATACTTGGGTGGATTGCCACATTGTGCAAAAGAATGAATTCTTGCATATTTCAACAATTCAGTAATGTCATGTGGAAATGGAGTTATTGTGCTTCTCCAGAGAAAGGCTGTGACATTTCATCCATTACATTCTGTTGTATAGTAGCCTCTTTTATAACCCAACAAAGAATAAAAAAAAATGGCAAATAACCTTGCACTGTCAACCCCATCCATTCCAAAATGCAATTCCCAAATGCATCACCCCAATTTGTTAAAAATGTCCCTGAAGGTGATTGTGATGTTTGAGAGTTCTTTTTTTCTTCTTTTGAAAATATTTCCCATAAACACAGTGGCTGAGAGAGCAGAGGAAATGGAACTAAACTGATTACCGGAGATTACTTGGGTGTATACGGCTAATTCCTGCCGCGATGAAGACAAACGCATAGGCAAAAGTTCAATGAGCTGCCATTAGACAGGAAAATGAAAAAAGACAGACTGGCAGGTAAACAAATGCACTGGAGCATCAGTGCACGTTCAGACACAGGGGCGATGTAGTGTGGAAAAGGTGAAAGGAAAGCAGGGAAAAGAAGGCACATCAGCCCGCTGAGCTATGGTCCCCACACAGACAGACTGCCGCTGGCTGGCTCTGAGGCTGGTGGCTGGCTGTCTGGGGTTGAGGTTGATAGGATTGGGTGGGGTTGAGACCCTACCTCCACCTCTCTGTCTCCCTCCAGTGCTGGATTATTAACTGAAATGGATAATATTTTAGGTAGCTTTCCTTTTCTGCTTCAGGTCTATCATGTGTACTTGACTTGTCTGTGAATTGGTACCTAACCTTTATCTGCTTATAGAACCTAAATCCCACCCTGGCAGGTCACAATCTGTGTTTTATTCCAGTGTTAACGCGTAACAGCATATAATCTGTGAATCTAGTGTGCTGCTGTCGTAATCTTTTAAACGCAGATAAGCTGAAGAGCTAATGGCAGGTTTTGGAGGCTGCTCATCATCAGGCAGCAGGACACAGGATGTGCCTTGTCTCATCGCCTCATTAAAATTTCAAAACTCTGAACGCTGGCAGTGAACAGCTGCTGATTTATGTGCATTCCCAAATATGCATCATTAGCAGAGGTGTGTTTATACAAAAAAAAATAATTAGTTACACCCTCTTGATAATTTGGATTTTTTATGATCTATATGTAAATGTGATGCTGGACGACACCCAGCTGCACTGATCCAAACATGTCACCATTGCTCCTCAAGTCACACAATGCATTCTTCATCTGTGATTGGATTCATACTGTCTGCCTGCTACCGGGAGGATTTCTTGGTGCACTCTATTTATGCTAGCTGGCTGGCTGGTCGGCTGCCCTGGTAACTATGGTAACAGTATCCCCCAGAAAGTTGGAGAGAGAAAGCCTTGCTAGGCTAATTGTGAGCAAGTGAAGCATGTCTGCAAAGTTATCTGTGTAGTCCGAGCCTGGACTGTGGCCTGTTTGTTGGATTACTTTTCGTCCTCATTGATTTTTTTGCAGAGATGCAATAGCCACCAGAATAAAAGTGATTTGCTCAGACCTTTTTGTTTTATAAAGTATTTGTTCAGAGAGCATTGAATCATGTAGCTACTTGACCTACATACATGTAGAACAAAATGATGTACACAGTAATAAAAAATACTGAAAACTTTGGACGAAATCTCAATTACAAACACTTTTATGTTATGTTGCACACCCATTATTAGCTACTTTATATATTTCTGTGTAGGAAACCTACTGTAGGTGTGAATGGATGATTTCTAAGCTAATGTTGCTTTTTCCCTCTCTCGTAGACTGGTGTTGTGCCATTAGCCCCTGGGCCTCTCCCTCAACCTTTTCCAACTGTGTGAAGACAAGTGAAAAGAAGTTTTAATGAATCAGTATTCGCTAGCCGACGCCATGACAGACAAGTAAGTAGGTTTATCTTTTACAAAAGCGTGCTTGTGTGGGTTTTTTCTATTTTTTTTTTTTGTAAAGAGCTCACTGTACTCTGGCTCTTTGTTTACCGTGAAGTAAGAAGATGATGTTGTCTCTTGTGGTTACGCTTCTCTCGCTTTGCACAAGATTGTCTCCTGGAAGTGTTTGTGCGAGCGTGTCTCCGTACAGCATTGGAGGAGAGTCGGGGGGTTCAGATAGCACAGAGAGAAGTGTGTTGTGTTGGGGGGTTGGTATAAAGACAGCCTGTTTTGACCCTGAAGACGTATAACATTTGCATCGGGGCTGATTTGCATTCTCGTTCACCGTGCTGGTATGTTGCTACTGCTGTTACTTGGTCTTTATTTCCCTGACAAAACACAGTCATTTAAAGGGTTTTGAGCCTTTGCTGTACTACCCTTCCTTTGGGTCCTTCTCTGTATTCTCCCCCTTTTTCTTATTCTAAGGTTCCTTCTTCATCTTTTTCCCTTCCCCCTTTTCATTTTGGAACCGTTCTCTCCGCTCCCTATCTCTTTTCTCTTTTTGTCTCTTTTGTCAACTTTGCCTTTGTCTCTCGGCCTGGTGTTTGTTGGATTTTTATCTATAGAGGATGGAGAATTTGGGTGCAGTAAGCAAAATAATCTGCTGTCAGCGTTCATAATAAGCGGAATAAGTGGTGCAGGCCAGTCAGCTGAAAGGGATAGGCGCAAAACACGGCGAAGGCCAAATAAAGCCAGGCCTATTATGTGCTTGAGTTACAGAAAATGAAAGGGGCAGTTAAAAAGTTTGGGCCCGCAACAAAAAAGAAGAAACAGGTTGTTTTCAGAACAATGAGTCATAGTGATCATGGATGCTTGTCCAGGCAGAGGTTTATATGCACGAATAGTTTCCAAGATGGTGTTGGTAGATGAAATGAGGTTGATGTGATTCAGTGTACTTATTACTAATGCACCTGCTGACCCTTTGAGAGAGAGAGAGAGAGGGAGAAAGTGAGAAGGGAGGAGGTCTAGTGAGTCACTCAGTCTTTCTATGAAACAGGCCTCAGGATAGCTCCCGTGGCTAACACCAGCACAGTATAATGTCAGTATAAAATATCATGCATCTAGTAGAACCAGATAATGCTATATTTGCCCGGAGGGGAATTTCTCCTGCAAATTAGAAGGTTGCACCACTTCAGCCGTTCCGTTAAGGATGCATAGTAATTTTTGCAAAGCCAGACATTTAAGCTTGGAAGTTTTAAGTGTTTTTGATGCAACATAAAAGGGGGGGAAAAAAGAAAAAAGATGTTCTTGGAAACCTTTATTTTGCTAAGAAGATGAAGCAGTATTTTTTTAATAAGGCTCTGCTGCACCAAATCAAAGCAAAGTCAAGTGAAGGTTGGGAGTTTCTAAGTAAGTGATGATGTTGTTGACAAGCTGTCCTGTTGGATGAAAGGTATCCGAGCAACCATAAAAGGGGGGCGAAGGGGGGGAGGAGGGTGGTAAGTTTATTGTGCGCTCGATGCTAGTCCATGTCGTAGGATGATTGTTGGTTGGGGAAGAATGATAAATGTTACGGCGAAAGGAAGTGAGGGGAGAAGTTGGAGGACGTGCCCCCCGACAGTGACTGCGAACAAAGCCTTCCTCAACATGGGACTACTTAAGATTCATACAAAGGCAGAAGAAGACAGCCTCTTATTTTCTCTCTAACACGCACACACACGCACATGCACACACGCACACAAATGCCCCCCTTTTTTTCCTCTAGCTCGCTCATGAGCAAACATTTACACATAGCTGGATATCAGTGGACATTCCTGTAGATATGTGCATTCCAATTGGTATTCCCAGATACACACTAGCTTGCAGACATATCCTTTTCTGACATTTTCCAACAGGACCCTCAAGTTCACAATCTTTGCCTCTGTGTTTTCCATGCAGATGTTGCTGTTGATTCGCGAGCTGATTATCCATCTGCAAAAGTGCTCTTGCATTCTCAGAAATGAACATGTTTCAATTGCAGGATTTTAAGTTCAGCCTTCTATTGTACCAGGATGCTCTGGGATGAGGAAAGTTTCTTAAGCCAGATTTGCTCCGTAGTGCTTGTAGACTGGGATTCTTTCTGTTGAAATTCAAGCCTGCATAATCCTCTTGAACACACTGCATTGTGTGTGTGTGTGCATGTTTGTGTGCAGAAGTACAGAGTCCATGCACCCTCTAACCAGGATTTGAATGAACAGGAATTTCACCTAGATGATTTTTCTTTCAAAATGATTTGCACCAGGGTTCAGTGGATTGCATCATATATGAAAGTAGGACACGAAGACAATGCCCCAAATGCACGGAGAGAATGTAGGCGTATGAAAATATGTCACTTGACAAATAAAATAAAGTGTTTTTTACACCTAAGTGGAAAACTCACAGCAGTGATTTGTATCTACAACTGGATGTCTATATTTTTGGGGAAAAAACACACAAACACAAAAGCAAGATGGAAAAATTAACCATATGTTCATGTTTCTCCATGCAACGGTTCCATTCTTGTTTTCCATAAGGAGAGTCCTCCTCCTACTCATTTCTCCTCTCTTTGTCCTCGCTCTTCTCTCCAACTACTGTATGAATTCGCATGCTCAAATATCCTCTCTCATAGCAAACCCTGTGTTCTCTCTCGTCCTCTGTCCCTCTCATTTTCCTTCCCTCCCCTACCTGTGGTGGTGCATGCTGACAGCCCTGTCAGAGACTTGGGATGTTTATAGATGGACAGTAAGGGTGGCTGCACAGATGAGACTGTCTGTGTGTGTGTGTGTGGTGTGTGTGTGTGTGTGAGGGGGTGTGTGTGTGTGTTCAGGTGGGGTTGGGGGGCTTTTACTGGAATGACCACACTGTCATGGGAGGCCTTTCCCAACCGTCTGTTTGCTTTGTGTATCTTTTGAGGTCCCTCGTGTGTGTATTCATGTCAGTCTCAAGGGAGTAAGGATCCAAAACCACTATCAGAAGCTCGTTAAGAGCTTTCTGTCACTTACACAAAACTGCAGCATGTACTGTATGCCAGTTGCAGTTCGGAAGAGTCACATTTGACATTTTTTGCTTGAAAAACAATTTGTTATGAGTACATGTTTCAGATATGCTGTTTCTTGTGCAATCCAGTCTTCAATCTGACAGTATGTTTGTAGATTATTTATTGCATTTTTCCTACTTTCCACCAAGCACATGAATTTAACAGTTTTTAATTTGGTCTTTGCTCTTAACTGCATCATGCAACAATAACTCCACATTGGTTTTTTGGGATTTTGTCAGGATTATACTTTTGTGTTTAGTGCTACTTAGCAAATGTTTGCATCACAACATGCTACACTAAGATGATGAACATGGTAAACACAATACCTGCTAAACATCAGCATGTTAACATTGAGATCGCGAGCATATTAGCATGTTGGTAGCAGCAGTTTAGTCCAAAGCACCACTGTGCCCAAATACAACCTCGCTGATCTGCTAGTGGCTGTATACTTCTTTTTTTTATGATACTTAAATGAATGGAAACCACAACATACAATCAAAGTTAATACAAACAGGTGATAAAATAAACAAAGTAACAATATACATTGATTGCTGTGGGTATAATGGAATTGTGTACATTTTATTTTTCACAATTGCATTTATAGTTAAAATTTAGACGTGACGATACTCTACCCTTAAAAAGCTGTGCGAACCCTAACATACTGACCAAAGCTCGATCTGGGGCCTTTTGTCAATTCAGGAGGAAAGTCAGGTGTCACAGTGGAGTGAGTTCAATATCCTATCCTGTCAGTATGTTTACCATAGGCTGAGTTTCTGAAGTAGGGCCTATTAATAAATTTGTTCCAGCTTAAGGAGTCTTCAATAGACCAGCTTTACCCAGTCCTCATTCAAGTCCACTCATCAATTAAAAAAAACCCAGACCCGTGACATCTCCACTTCCTCTCTGTGCCCTCTCCAGACCACGGTGTCACCAAGGGCGTGGTTTGGGGCACGGCTGGCCTCGCACCCAGGCTCAACACCCACTCAAGAAAACCTGAATTGAGACGTGTGAAGGCAGGGTGTCACTGGTGTCATAGGGATTCGTGGGTGCATAGTAAAAACTCTGTATCAGCTGTCACAGTGTTTTGTGGGAGCCGAGGGAAGCCAAGTCAAAGTGCTTCCTAAGGATGTCGAGGGGGATGCACCCTTTGGCCTATGGCTCATCAATCTTACGCAATTGTCATCTTCTCCCAACGGTCCATTGATGCTGTCAGAGGCAGGGACTCGTTGCGTTGTGTATTTGTGCTTGCTTGCATACATGTTTTTTCTTATTTTGTGTGTGTGTGTGTCTGTGTGTTTGTCAGTGAAAAAGTGACTTGAGAGTGGGAAAGTCTGGAGGAAGATGGGAAAACAGAGGGTGATACATTGTGCATTGAAGGACTACACACTGCAACCATCAAGAATGGCGCTTGACCTTGATTTACATGAGTACCCATCCTCTGTGAGTTTGGGGAAACTGATCTGAAGTTATGTTATTTACAGTCAGCTAAAATCTATACTTGATGACAGAAATGCAATAAGCAATCTTAATATGGATAAATATTCCCCACCACAGCCAACTCATTACAGGATGCTGTGGTCGCACTTTATTAATGTGAACCTTGAGGAAACACGTTTAACATGCAGTTAATGTTCATGCACATCCACTTTTTTTTTGTCCTAATATGATCCGTTGTAAGTGAACTGCCTGCATTTGTAGTCTGGTGTGTATCATCTCTGCTTAACATAATCTGATTATTCTTTTATACAGTAGAGCAGGGGGCCTGAATTACAGTAGCTTACCCCACCAAGCAAATGCTAATGAATCTGCATATTTGGGTTGATTTGGGTGACCCGAATTCAGTTGTCTGGAAGATTTGTCTCCTTGTTCCGGGACAGCATTTGTTGCTTTGCCAGCAACATCCATTCTGACAGCCTCAGTCTGTTATCTTGGGAGTTTACTGACTTTTTGTTTATCTTTATTTATTCAAAGAGAGATCGAAAAACTTGAGGCAGTGGAGATAATTAGGGATTGATTCTCTGTTTAAAAAGTACCGGTGAGTAGAAACTGAACTGTAGTCAAAGCAAAGTAAATATGTAAGTGCATGTTTTCCACTCAGACAGAGTCGGATTGTAGTGGACTGTGGGAATAAAGCTTGTGTACTTGTGCAGGGAGAATGTATTCAGCCTTGTTGTAAAGGTTTTCATTTTGCTCAGGGAAGCAGTCTAAGGGAACAGACTGGAAAGTGTTGTGAATGGAGGCCCAACCATCTGTCACAATGGCAATAAGAAGATTTCTACTTTCCCTTCCTTGGACTTATGAAATCTTGTTTTCATGCACTGAAAAGAAAAGCAAAAGAATTTTCCAGCTGACTGTTCTATTACTGCTAATGCAGATTATTACCTAAATTCTTTGTTTTGGTTTTGATTCATTAGTGATGCAAAACTGCAGTGGCCTGAAAACCTGTTTTCTTAATCAGCTTATTTTTGTGAAAGATGTGGTCTTTCATAGACAGTATTTAAAGTTAAGAGGTTTTTTTATTATTATTATTAAATTGAGAGATGTTTTGCCTGTCAGTGGTTTAAAGTGGGTGGCCCAGAGATAAAAAAGGGGATGTCAGCTGCTTCTAGGCACCACGATTAGTGCCATGTTTGGATCAAAATCAATCAACAATAGTTTGGTTGTTTGCTTATGTTAAGTATTTGAGTGTTAACAAATAATATCCACTACATATGAGAATGTTTCAGCCATGTTGGTTGCAAGGCTCTAGTGGTGGCAATGTCAGTGGGTTTGATGTGGTGCTACCAGCGTTTCATTTAGCACTACTAATTGATTAAAGCTTCCATTTATCCAGTGAAACATCTCAATATTTACTACATGGATTGGTCTATTTAGTACAGACATTCGTGGTTCTGAAACAGTGAATCCTAATGATTTTGATGGTTGCTAGAATTTTCCTCTAGGGACACCTCAAGGTTATCATTTGTGGTTTCGGGTCAAATGTCTCGACGGCTAATTGGTACCCAAATTAATTTTCCCCTCAGGATGCATTGTAATGACTTGGATGATTTATTGTGCTATCACATCAAAAGTAATCCACAGCAATTTTATTTATTTTATATATTATTTATCTTTTGCAGGCCCCTTTTTCTTAAATCTGAGGATTTTCTTTATACACATTAGCTGACGAAATATATTTGGGTTTTGATCTGTTGTTCTGACATTTTATACACAGAAATATTTAACTGATCAGATTGCTGAAAAATCTGTTTTGAAAAGAATTCTTAGGAAATGAGTAAGCAAGATTTAAAGGCAGAGCAGTCTTAATGACAAGTTTAGCCAATGAATAATGCATGTAAAGTTTGCATTCCACTATCAAATTGATCATCTCATAAATTGCACAACCTGTGTTTACCTCAGAGTAAAAGTTGTGCAGACTGAAGGCTTGGCTGCGGCTTACCTCTCATAGGGTAAACGTGTTGAAGGGGAGAGTGTTTTCCCTTTATTTACATCTGGTTGACCTGCAGATGTGGTTGACCCACAGCCTTAGCGTTTGTGCTCACATATCTCAGACAGGCCACAGCGAAGAGCAGACCTCTGCAGTAGACAAAGAAGTGGAAGAGGAAATGAATATAGCAGCCTCGGGTTTCTCTGATGGTATCCACACAAGATAATGTTTATCATTTGGCTGCTCACCATTTATTTGTCCTTGGTTATAAAAAGTTAGCACAGTATCCTGACAGACATCATATGATATCACTGGCTTAGCGGTCAGAGGATATTTAAGTCACTATATAATTGTTTTGTCCCTCACAGAATGCTCATCACCCTCACCTCTGTGTCTTTGTGTGTGTGTGTTTTGGGTAAATGGGTGATATTTGTGTGTTCCTGTATGTAAATGATGGAAGTTTTATTGTGCAAAATGTTTCATTTTGTTTTTCATTGATCATCAAATTTGTCTAACCAAGGTCTAGACTGCTAACCACACACATGCACTCAACATGCTCACACGAACTGCTTCCTCTCTTATAAGCGCGTACACACACACACACGCAAACACACACACTACATAACTGTCTTGTCTGATCTTTCTGTCTTCTCCCCCCCTCCCTAGCTTGAGGATTTTATAATTCTCTCCGGAGGAAGAGCGTCGCATCTTGTAAGGAGCCACAGGTCAGAAACTCTACTCCTCTCCCTCCCTCCACCTTTTTGCTGTGCAGACCGACACTGAGCCGCTCGTGGGCCCGCATGCTTCAACACGAATGCTGCATGCTTGTCCGACCTCCCTTGTAACCGCCTCAGGCCTTCACTCCTTTTTTTATTTCCCCCTGCTTGTCCACACCTTTGGCAGTCCAACTTTGAATTTATCCTGCTTTTCTTTGGCGCTTGTGGTGCAAATTTTGAATCCTTTGCAATGATACTTTCCTTTTTACCCACTCATTTTGTCTTTTGCCTTCGCAATGTGATTTGGTTCTCCTTTCCTCTTTAAGTTGTTATTCTCTTGTTTTATCTGCTTGGAAGCAAGCTGATGGTATTTGTTCTTATTTACATCTAATTATGTTTATAGTGACATCCATGATGTACACACACATACACAC